TATATGTTATAAACAATTTTCATAAAATGACTAAATTATGTCTTTTTATTTTAGAAAAATTATTTTGTAGCTTTATAAAAACTCAAATTTATAAGCGCCAATCCAATCTACAATGTGGAGGCGAGTGATATCACTTGGGACCTACTACATCAAAAGTATTGACGCTCAGACTGTGTCAAAGTCTCGCTACAAATGCTTTGGAGTATTTGATAAACCAATTAGAAGAAAGAATTTTACAAACTGATCAGTTAAAAAACGCTTCAAAGCGTTTACATCATCGCGTTGATCGCACTCTCAGTGTCCATATTGTATGTACTTATACTGTGGCCAAGAATTTTCAAATGGCAATCGTTCGAGGATAAAACTCGAATAACTGCAAGGGAAAGTTGAATTATTATTGATGTTTATAATATATTCAAGCCATAAAATTTTTTGTAATTATAAACTATTAAATTAAAATATTATAATTGTAATTATAAAATTATATAAAATTATATAAAATTTAAAATTGATATAAAATTATTTTATAGAGCAATATTATAAACAAAAAAAGTTTGGTATCAGAAATGACAACCATAAATACACAAACATAAATATAATAAAGTTTAAATTTACAAAACAATACGTAGTTTTTTGATCCATTATATATCCAGATTGACAAATGTCAGTATATTTTGCATAGTGCGTTTGTAAGACGTGTCCTCGTAATATGAATGCATATGGAACTATATAACGGAATAATACTAAATTAAAGCTCGTCAGTTTGCTTCAATTTTGTGCCCCTATGGGACCTTTCCAGAATACAGGCACAAATCGACATAAAAGTCATTCTTTCTTTGTTTCTTACTGATTATTGAACAAGGACAGAATAACTCTTGTGTCAATTTATGTCTTTGCTGGAAAACCTCCCTATAATCTAATTTTACATTAGTCGTATCGCAGCGTTGCAAGCGTGTCGCAAATGTTGTGATCCAATCAGAGTCGAACTAGCTTGATGTTTATTGGACCATAACGCTTGCGACACTGCGATGCGACTAATGTAAAAATCAGCTTAAGCCGACTCTACATTAGTTGCAAGCTGATCGCAAGTTTTAATTTTAGGATGATAAAAATTAATCTCTATTATAACTGAAAACATGTAATTAGAGAAATCATTGGCTGCATTCAACAGAACGTTTATTTTGCAATTGTTGGAAGTTTTCTTCGCGCTGATTGGATTATATTTTTAGATTTAGAAAAACGATCCTATCTCATCAGAGAATCATAAAACGGTTGCAAAATTGTTGTATTCTGCTGAATGCAAAGTTTAAAAAATTGCTACTATGAAAACCGTACAATTAGAAATGAAATGTATTGAACAGCATAATGTTATAAAAAATATTACATGAAAGAATGTTAGAATTTTTATATTGATATATAACGTAAAGTAAATATTTAGAACGATTATTACTGACTGGTAAATAACAAAAGAATTAATAATTAATAATTATTTTTAAAATACATATATATTATAATGAAAAAAATTTATTATTACAGAATATTTATTACTACAGATGAGAGGTCACGATGCACATCATGGTCCATCATACCAAATACCCGACAAAAATATATAGATCGAAGTCTGCTAGTCAAATTTAGTCAGAATTTTTTCGGATTCGATACTGATGACATTTCCTTTTTATGAATATATATATATATATATATATATTTATTGAGTGTGGGAAAAAATTCGTGGCGTTTTTACCGCTAGATGGCATTAGATGCTCAGCAGTCGGTAACTACTAATTACATCGGCACTAGACGTGCGTTTAAAAAGTGACATTTTAACCTTTGTTTTGAGCCGAAAAAGATTGAAGTGGATCAAAAGTTATTTTCTTTTGAAAATGAAAATAAATAAGGAAAAAATTCGGTACATTTTGCAGTATCTACGATAAAGGCAAGAATGCTGCACAGGCTTGTGAAAAAATTCGCGCTATTTACGGTGAAGATACTCTATCAAAATCAGCAACGGTAATAGTTCGCTCACTTTCGTGCTGGAAATTTCGATGTGAAAGATGAACCTCGCTTCGGTCGACCAATCACTGAAAAGTCCGATGAAATCATGGTAAAAGTCGAGCGTGATAAGCATGTGAGCACTATGGAGATTGCCAGGGAACTAGGCATCGACCACAAAACAGTTTTAATTCATCATTTACACAAAACTGGATACAAAAAGAAGCTCGATGTTTGGGTTCCTCACGAGTCGAGTGTTAGGAACATGATGGACCGAATTAACATTTGTGATACGCTACTGAAACGAAATGAAATTGAGCCATTTCTGAAGAGAATGATAACTAGTGATGAAAAATGGATCACCTACAATAATCCAACTAGAAAAAGATCGTGAATAAAGAAAGAAGAGAAGGCATAAGCAATCGCAAAACTTGGATTGACGCGGAAGAAGGTGATGTTGTGTGTGTGGTGGGACTGGAAGGGAATCGTTCACTATGAGCTGTTATCGTCCAATCAAACAATTTCGAACTCTACTGTGAACAACTGCAGAGATTACAACAAGCAAACAGAGATTACAACAAGCGGCCAGAATTTATTAATGGGAGAGGTGTCGTCTTTCATCATAACAACGCTCGACCACACACATCTTTGATGACTCGGCAAAAATTGCGAGAGCTTAGCTGGGAAGTTTTAATGCGTCCATTGTATAGTCCTGATATAGCATTCTCAGAATATCATTTATTTAGGTCTCTGCAGAGCTCTCTTGGTATAAAGCTAGCTTCAAAAGAGGCCTATGAAAATCACTTGAAGTTTTTCCATCAGAAACCACAGAAGTTCGCGATGGAATTATGGTTCTGCCCCAAAAATGGCAAAATATAGAAAATAATGGAGCATATTTGGTTTAAATAAATTGATTTCAATACTCTAAGAAAAACACTTTAATTTTACTAAAAAATCGCCACGAACTTTTTCCCATATCCAATATATATATATATATATATATA